GCCCATGTGATGTGGGTCACCAGTCAACGCCCAGGGAAACAGCAGTCAAGGGATCAAACAGCATCCAGCACTGGGAAAAGCTACTGAAAGAGATGTCTTTCACATTCCAAAGGCCAAGAGGGCCCTCAGCTGACTCTGGAGCTTCGGCACCACACATGGTCACTGCAGTCTCTCCCTGTGCTTGGGAGAACTGGACAATCAAAAAGGCAGCCAGAAGAACCAATGGCATCTAAGTCGGAGTTGTAATCAGCTCAGGGCCAGGGGGTGTCCTGTCCATTTTGTTTTTCATTGTAGAGCTGGTTGTGTTAGACCAGGTTGACTAGAAAAACAAATCCAGAGACACTCATATATGTGTGTGAGAGAGCATTATGTCAAAGAGAAATTGTATATTAAGAAAACATCCCAGCCCTGTACAGTTCACATCCATAAGTCTGATATTAGCCCATATGTCCCATATGTCTATATTAGCCCATAGGTCTAGTAATTCCCCTTCAGATTCATGCAACACATGCAATGATGCTAAATACCAGAGACCGCCAGCTGGTGAGTGGAAAGTCCTGTGGATCCAATGGCAGTGGATGCGTCTCCAGGGCTCTGGCTGCCATCAGCATGGCTCCATGTGGCTTGTTATCAGGGATGTGTAGCAGAGAGAAAGTGATCCGGCCTCCAGTGAATCATTTATCTCTGTCTTACCTCCAAAAAAGGTCATCAAGCTGCGACCTGATTGACAGGCTAACCTCCATCCCATCCCTCTTAATGCCCTCAAGTTGACAGTGCTAGATGCTGTTTGATCCCTTGACTGCTGTTTCCGTGGGTGTTGACGACCACACTGGTGAAGAGTGCTGACTGTACCATAGACGGACAGAAACATTTACTAATTGATGTTAGAAGAAAGACAACTAGAATACCCCTTGGAAGCAAGGGTGGCAAGACCTCATCTTGCCTTTTTTGAACAGGTGATCAGAAAGACCAGTCACTGGAAAAGGACAGTTAGGTTAGGTAAAGTATAGGGTGAGCACAAATGAGGGAGACGCTCAATGCAATGGGTTGGCACAAGGTAGCCTGTCCCATGAAGATGGTGGAGGACCAGGCAGCCTTTCAATCTGTTACAAATGAGCTCCCTGTGAGTCAGCGTCAACATGACCACAGCCAACAACAGCAAACTGGAGTGGAGATGAGGAGACAGGCCTCCCGGGCTAGCTGGCAGACATTCCCAGAAGCCCTTGTTGCCTTTGCCCAAGATGTAGTCTGTCCGCGTCATTCATGGATTCTGTAGGTGCACACTTGCCTCCTCACTGAAATGTATCCATTTGTCACCTCCAAATCAAAACTCACTTCCGTAATCATTTGTGACCATGCACAGCTAGACACACACTTGGACCCTCCTCGTGGGCATGTTCCCAGCTAAGGTCAGACAAGGTACCACTTTGCCTGGTCTCCAGGTTCATACTTCATATAAGTGTCCTTTCTGTGGTCTGCTCTGTGCACGTGTCTCTCATGGCTGCCCAATCCCACACCATCCTCACTGCTGTTGATGTTTGAGCCCATTGTTGCAAGCACCATGGCACTCTGTCTGATTTAGGAGGGTCCTCCTTTTTCTTTGGCTGACCATCTAGAGCAGGGGTTCTCAAACTGTGGGTCCTCACCTCTTTGAGGGTCGAACGACCCTTTCACCGGGGTCGCCTGATTCATAACAGTAGCAAAATTGCAGTTATAAAGTAGCAACGAAAATAATTTTATGGGTAGGGGGTCACCACAAGATGAGGAACTGTGTTGAAGGGCCGCAGCATTAGGAAGGTTCAGAACCACTGATCTAGAAGATTTTAAAGAATCCATGCATTTGAACTAGGCGCTAGTGAAGAAAATCGAAAGTACCATGGACTGTCAAAAGAGCAAACACATCTTCCTGGAAGAAAAACCAAAACACTCCTAGAAGTGAGATCGGTGAGATTTGGGCTCACATATTTTGGACGTGTTGTCAGGAGACACCAGACCTTGGAGAAGGACATGTGCTTGATAAAGTAGAGGGTCAGCGAAGTAATTGTCCAAGCCGAAGTATACTGTACATTAGCTTCCCTGAGATCAGAGAGCGCAGGATTCCTTGCCCATAGTTCGTCCACTCTTTTTCCAATCCTCTGCAATCAATGTTTATTTTGCCTTCTGAGTGAGGCCACAAAAGAATTAAAGGGACCCTTAAAATAATGATTCTCACCAGGTAAGCCATTTAATATTCCAATGTGCAAAAATATCCTATTACCTGATGAGTTAATGGTTAGCAGAGGTTAAAAGGCTATAAAATCATTATTAAGAGGTTCCTGCTCCTGACAAATGCTTCCTTACTCCATTAAGAGAGAAGGAAACTAAGAGAAACTTTATTATTGGAAGAAAAAGAGGCATCGATGTTGAGGTTATTAAATATTTGTCACTTTTCTGCTTTCTCAATAAATAAAAAATATTCTCATGCTGAGTTTTTTTTAATGATTTAGCATTTGAGTCATCATTCAATAAATTACATTCCTTTTGTGTAAGCATGGTGTTTCAAAAGTGGGTCCAAAAGACAAAGTTCCATGTAATGAAGAAAAGATCCGAGATGGGAGCAACCCCATGACCAAGACGACGGCACTTACCAAACACAAGACCCACGGCCGTCAAGTCAAACCCACCTCACGGTGACCCTGGTTTGACTTTCCAAAGCTGCCTATCTTTACGGGAGCATAGAGCCTCCTCTTGCTCCCACAGAGCAGCTGATGGTTTTGAACTGCCAACCTTGAGGTGCGCAGTGCAATGTTTACCCAACAGGGCCACCAGGGCTCCTAGAATGCCCTTTGAGAATAGAATCAGACTTATTCCCATGGCTCAATTATCAGCCAAACAAGAGACAGACCAAGCAGATTAGCTATACCACCAGGGAGGTATGTACTCCTTAGAACCATCAACCACAAGAGATGAGAAGGCAGCATTTGGGCAGAGATAAAGGCTCAGAAGACAGGAAGGGAGGCCAAAGAAGGCTGACTAGGAACAGCCAACATAGGGAAGAAGTGGGATGAAGCTGTTGCCTGGTGAGGACTGCAATCAATGTCATAAAGCAAAACGTGAGTTGTTGAATGAAAAACCAATGGGCTCTATAAACCTTCTCGTCTCAACAAAAGTTTTACAAAACATCCATGTGGGCACCCTCCCCCGCGGGGGGGGCCCCCCTCCTCCACCACCATCAAGGAGAATGAAAAGCAACAAAATTGAGACTACGGCCACTGTCTTTCCGTTTAAGTCATCTAGCTGAATGATCGGAATACTGAAAGGCTAGGTGAACACTGAAACTTGTATCTCAGGAAAAGCAGCATTGTTGGGTGCCCATGAACGCCTTCGGTCTTGGCGCATCCACTTGGTCATCACAGTCATCCACACAGCCCTGCAGAGGGGGAACGGTCTGCAGAGGGCCCCCGAGGTCGTGCTTGCTTCTAGAAACAGCCAAACAAGCGTCTCAAACTCATTCTGTCAACTGGAGTGTTTCCAAGTCAGCCAAATGGTCACACACCCCAAAGACCTGGTCCCCCTCCCCACCCCCTTTGTACCCATGCCTAGGCTAGCCACACCTGGCCAATGTCCTTGAGCAGTAAAACTGAAGCAAATTCCCCAGCAGTTCCACTGACCTGGGTGTCTTTGTTTCCCAGGGTTGCCATACGCATCACCACAATCGGGGTGCTGCACCGAGCAGCTGTTCTTACTCTCAAGGTCGGGAGGCTCGATGGCCACCCCCAGCATGCCAGCCCTGCATGCAGGCTGTTTGTGTCCATGCTTCTGGTTGCTTTAATAAGAAAGACCATTTTGGTAGTGGTGGTGATGAATTCATTTTATTCACTTTAAAGATAAAGGAGCCTGGTGACACTATGGGTGAGACATTGGACCTAATTGCCAGGTCGGCAGTTCACACCCATTAGCCTCTCTGAGGGAGAAAAATGCGGCTGCAGCGCCCAGAGAGACGGACAGTCTCCGAAACCCTATGGAGCAGCTCTGCTCCGTCTTACGTGGTCACCCTGAGTCGGAATGGGATCGCTGCCTGTGGGTGTGGTTTCGAGTTCTCGTTCAAAGCCATAGAATGAGTGTTGGTGATCTTTTCTGCCTTGAACATTATTTCAGAAAAGAAAAACCTTAGACGCACTGATCGATGTTATTGCCATCTCTGTACGGTCACTTTTCCCGTAGATATACACATTGCCAAACCGAAGATATATTGGACCCACTGGACCTTCAACACTGGCAATGGCCTGTGGCTCCACTGGGTTCTATTCTGAGCTAAAGATGAGCAAGGAAGATGATCTTTCCCATAGACAAATGATTTCAAATTCTTCAACACAGCAAGAATGATGGCCGCTCCTCTGGCCAACCTCCCAATATGCAACACTGTCCTACTTTTCCTGGGAGCCCTGGTGGCATAGTGGTTATGTGTTGGCCTGTGAGCGGCAGGGTGAGCAGTTAGAAGCCACGGGCTGCTCTTCAGGACGAGGACAGGGCTTTCTACTCCTGGGAACAGTCACAGCTGCAGAAATCCTCAGGGGCCGGTTTGCAGTCCTACAGGGTCACTGTGAGTCCCAATTGACAGTGAGTTTGGAGTTTTGAGAAAACATTGACTTGAGGTCTCCTTTCCCCCACAAAAAAAGCACTGTGACCCAGCTCCTAAAGGAGCCCTGGTAGCATAGTGGGTTACATGTTGGGCTATGAGCTGCCAGGTCAGCAGATTGAAACCACCAGCAGCTCTGTGGGAGAAAGATGAGGCTTTCTACTGCAGTAAAGAGTTACAGTCTTGGATATCCACAAGGACAGTGCGACCCTATCCTATAGGGTTTCTGTGAATTTGAATCACAGAAACAGGGGATTGTGCTAGCTCCTAGTCAATTGAGTTCAGGGATCAAAGGACAGAACACTGAATTGGCTTCTGCCTCGTTAAGCAGGATTTATTCAACTATTTGTAAACAAAATGTTCTCTCTTTCCCTCCCTCTAGGGCTGTGTCTGTAAAGGCAAAGGCCAGTGCTTCTGCTCCGGGACCAAAGGGGAGAAGGTAAAAACCAAGTCTGCCTACTGCTTCTTGTCACCGTAGAGCTCATTAAGCGTGGTCCAGTCGCCTTGACAACAGCGTGTGGTTCTCTTCCCCAAAGCCAATCTTACTAAGTCGCTCCCAACAGTTAACGTGCTCAGTGGCTGACCACAAATTTGGGGCTAGAAGAAAGGTCTCACCATCAACAAGAGGCTTCATAAAGTGACCAGAAAAATTCCATTTTTCCTATAATGTCATATTTCTATAAACTTTTTGAAGCACATTCATCCTTCTGGGAGGGAAAGACAATCAGCCTTTGAAAGTACTATGGAGGCCCGTTCGCCATGAGTCATAATCATGTCAGTGGCCACTGGTAAGGAGGCATTGACCTTCAAAACTTATGTCCTTCTAGAAAGTGCCAGATAATTTATTTCAATAATGGCAGCTTACTTTTTGCAGCTGTCTTTATCTGCAAAGAATTATCAGGAAAAACTATTAACATTCCTCTGTATGTAGACATGATCACACCGAATGTTGCTTCATGCCAGGAGACAACTGACAGCCACTTAATTGGCTCACTTTGACAGCATTCAAGTGCGGTAGCACTGGTTCGAGATCGCCCCCTGGTGGAGCAGGACCCACCAGGCACGCCACTGTAGACTTAGAAAACATTGAACTATGGAATGATTTGATATCTGCAATAATGCCAATTATTTTTAAAAAGAAAGAAAACAAGGGACACTGGCATGTCTCATTGATTCCCTCTATTAACTTGGGACAAACCTCTTTAACACTGAGGTAGCACAGGCGTTGTGTTTTGCTTTGTTGTTCCCTCTCTGCTTATGAAAGCCTTTCCTCAGAGACGATCATTAGTTTGTCTAACAAGATTGGAGGGAAGCCAAGAAAAAGCATCCTTGAAAACACACATCTTCAGTTCAGTTAAAATGGTTTACCTGGAGGTGATGTGCTAACAGTTTATTTATTTTACATCGTAGTTTTCACTTAAAAATCTTTTCTAGATTGATGTATTTTAAAAATTATTTTCTTTTAAAAGATAACTTAACACATGCACAGGCAGATTCAGGCTACCTGAAGAAATAGGCACGTCTAGAGAGCATCAGACAGCTTGTGTACATAATGGCAGTTTACTTTATAGCCACCCATTCAGATCCCTTGCTTGCATTCAAGCATGATTGAAGTCCTGCTCTCCGTTTACAAGCCACTGTGGGGTTTCGAACCATCCGGTTGGCAGTTCAAAGAGGCTGTCTGCTCCTGTAAAGATTTACAGTGAACCCTCGTTTATCGCGGTTAATCGGTTCTAGACCCTACCGTGATAAATGAAATTCCACGAAGTAGGATTCCTTATTTGTAAATAAAATATTTTCGTAGTTAGAGCATAGAGGACATGAAAAAACACCCTTTAGTCACCATTACACTCATCTGCTGACTCAGTTTCTGTTCACAGAAACTTTTTAAACAAAACTTTTTAAACTTTTTAAACGAAAAAGGGAAAATACAGTAAAACATTTTGGATGTTACAATTATCATTTATTATTTATTATATTATTTATGGCATCTAGTTTACAGTATGCAGAAGAGGATTCTGGTTGAGGTTTGTCTGCTGTAAAATGCTGATAGAGCTGCCTTGCCTTCTCCCGGATGACTATCAAATCCAACGGAATGTTTTTCTTGCGCCTGTCATTGATCCAAACGGCTAGGACAGACTCCGTTTTTACTATGAACTTATTACGACTTGTCACGATGTGCTTTGCTTCCTTGTTGAAAGTGAAAGTAGCCGTAGCACGGATGTTTTTTTTCCTCTTTATGGATGGAGCGAACGGAAGACTCATTCAAGTCCAAATGGCGTGCAACCTCCACGATTTTCTTGCCATCTTTGATCATATCCAAAAGTTTTACCTTTTCCTGGATGGTGAGCATCTTCCTCTGGCACTTATTTTTATCGTCAGAAGGCTTAGAAGAAGCAGCTCGTTTAGGAGCCATCATAGGGCTTAGATAAAATTTCTTAAAAATCCGCAAACAATTACAGTACACTGTACAAAAGCAAAAATGCAAAAAAACAAAACAAAAGCAAAAATGCATCTGATACGTAGCTCCGATACGTAGCGATGCAGACAGGAGCGTGTACAGTATGAGCCAATCAGTGGCAGTAATGACAGAGCATGCGCTGTTACGCAAAAACCGCGATAGAGTGAAGCCGCGGAAGTCGAAGCGCGAAGTGGCGAGGGTTCACTGTACAGCCTCGGGAAACCCTAGGGAGTTCTACCCAACCTTATAGCGTCACCGTGAGTCAGAGAGGCGACTTGATGGCAGTGGAGAGGGTTCGGCCGTGTGAAGATTGCTCAGTAGTGAGAGAGGCAGAGCCTTCAGTTCCTGGATGTTGTTACACACGTGTCTGCACCGTTGAAGTCGCTGACTTGGTTCTCTTTTCCTACTACGATCTCGTTTGCATGACTACATTGGCAGGCGTCAACCAGCGGTCTTTATCGCAATAGAGTGACCTCAGGCTCCACACCTCCATGGGAAGTGTTCCTTGGCGGAACCCTGCGCCACAATGGGCCTTTGGGACTTCCATTCACTCTCATCAGGGACTTGCCCATTTCATCTGATCGTTTCTTAATTAAAAACAAATCATTCTCGCACATTTGATGATGCCACCCTTGATATCTCTGCTGCATCTCCTCCACCAGCAGTAGACCCCATAGTGAGTCCCTGTGTCCCCCAGAGAGGAGCGTGGGTGGGGTCCTGGGTTACACGTTGGGCTGTGACCCACAAGGTCAGCCACTTGAAATCTCCTGCAGGAAAGGGACGGTCTCAGAAACCCACAGGGGCAGTTCTAGCTGTCCTGCAGGGTCGCTAAGAGCCAGAATGGACTCGGCAGGGGGTTTCATTGCGAAGTGATGACAGCGCCAAGCCTAGTTACAATTATGTCCATTCTCAAAACACATGCTCCTACCTTAGCCTTGTAGCCACCCACCCACCAGGCCACCAACCTTGAATTTTCTAGCTGGGCTTTCAGTCTTCCCAGTTCCTGATGTGTCTTCCTTCCCGTCTGCTCCGGGAAGCTTTACCATTGGGGGAGGTGGGGGGATGTCATTGCTAAAATGATAGGTGGACGCGGACAAATACTTTCCAGTTCCCCGGAGCACTCGCTCCCGAGTGCTAATGATGGTTTTCAACCTAAGGAAATAGTATGCAAAGTGTCATCAAGTCACAGAGAAGAAGACAAAGGTGACCATTGTTGTTGGACAGTTGTTCTTGTTTGTTTGTTTGCTTGTTTTTTAAACAGGGAGAGAGGGGCTTTCCTGGACCCCCAGGTTCACCTGGCCAGAAGGGATTCCCAGGTCCTGAAGGCTTACCTGGACCACATGGACCCAAGGTATGTATGTCATCCTATCCCCTAGCTCTTCTGTAAGCTTGAATGCCTGTCCCTGGGTAGAACAAAGGATTTGACTACTAATCTCAAACTTAGACA